GGGTCTCCCACACATGTTCAGGGCCCAAGGACTTGGACCATCCTCCATTGCTTTCCCAGGCCACAGCAGAGAGCTGGACTGGAAGAGGGGCAACCAGGACAGAATCCGGCACCCCAACCAGGACCAGAACCCAGTGTGCAGGCGCTGCAGGCGGAAGATTAGCCTATTGAGCCACAGCGCCTGCCATCCGTGTCTTTTTTTAATCAGAATAGTACTAAGACTGCCTTATTATTACATAACCACATGTTTTTGTCTTCCAAAATTTATATTTTATTGATTTTTTTAAAGATTTATTTTATTTATTTGAAAGAAAGTACAGAGAGTGAGAGAGAGAGAAAATCTCCATCAACTGGTTCAATCCCCAAAGGTTGCAATGGTGAGGGCTGGACCAGACCAGAGCCAGGAGCCAGTATTTTCTTCTGGGTCTTCCACATGATTGTAGGGGCCCAAGTACTTGGGCCATCTTTTGTTGCCTTCCCAGGCACAGTAACAGGGAGCTGGATTGGAAGTGGAGCAGCCAGGACTTGAACCAGTGCCCATCTGGAATGCCGGCACTGCAGGTGACAGCTTTACCCACTATGCCACATCAGGCCCTGTCTTCCATAATTTAAAATGTTTGAGATTATTTTTAAAAGTAATACTCTTGGACTATTTTGAAATTTTGTCTTAAGCATTAAGTTACTGGGGCCAGTACTGTGGCATAGTAGATTAAGAATCCGCATGCAACACCAGCATCCCATATAGGTGCCAGTTTGAGTCTGGGCTGCTCCACTTCCAATCGAGCTCCATGCTGATGGCCTGTGAAAGCAGTGGAAGATGGCCCAAGTGCTTGAGCCCTTAACACCCACATGGAAGACTTGGAAGAGTCTATGTCTCCTGGCTTAGGATCAACGTAGTTCCAGCCATTGTGGCCATTTGGGGAGTGAACCATCAGATGGTAGACCTCTCTCTGTGTATCTCCATTTCTGTCTGTAACTATGCTTCTCAAATAAATTAATCTTTTTTTTTAAAAAGAATTAATTTCATTGAATTAAAATGCATATTACCAGAATATTCTATAATTAAATATTGGCATACACTAATAAAATATATTATATTCTTGAAACAAATATTCATATATATCATTGAAAAATTGAGTTCTATTTTTTTCATATCATCTCGTTTTCCTTTTTTCAAATTAGAGTTCTGTTTTTCATATCATCTCGTTTTCCTTTTTTCAAATTAGAGTTCTGTACAAATTTGCCTTATTTAGTTATAAGTTTACTGTACTACTATTTATCTTCCTGAAATCAAATGTTTTCCTTAGTGCATTCATCAGCTTCTATTCCAAAAAACTTCACCCAGATGTGTTTCCCAACTCTGTGTGGTGGCTCAAATATGAAAGGTACCAAATAGCTGACATCATCATGCATCTTTATATTCCTGCCAGAATGGTCTTTCTGAAGTGTATTTGTGATGACAGTGATGATATAACTGTTTTTAATGAGTGAATGCAACCTGTGATACCGCTAGTTGCTCTGTATTTTTTCTAAACATAACACAAGGTAAGCTTTTCTTACTACTTTATCATTTTATCCAACCATTCATCAACTGCCACTGTAGCTCTTTCCCCTGGTTTTCACTCTTGACCTAAAGCCAGGTCCCTGCAGCCACCACATCCTGCTTATCTCTAAACCCAAAGGTCCAAATCAACAGACTTCATGTTCTGCAGATTATTTCTCACCCTGAAATACACAGCATTCCCTTGGAGATGGCACCATCTAGATAAGAAGCAAGAGTCTCAGTCTACACATTTCTCACAAGCATAAAAAAAAGTTATTAAAAAAAAGAAAAAACAATGAAAATATCACTATTTACTTTCCAGAACATATTTTACATATTTCAAAGGCTTTTTCTACTGCCAATTGATGCCATAACCACTTTTAAGTGTCTGCTGAGTCTCAGATCCGTTATAAACTCTATGATGGCTTTATCTTACAGTATCCTTGGTGTTAAAAATTATTTTAAGCCTGACCATAAGGTAGATATCAAAACAAACACAAGGCAATCTAAGTGTCAGGTAAATGCATCCATGAGGTGGCATGGTAAAGGAAGTAAATTAAGAACTTGAGAAAGGCTTTATGAAGAGCTGAGCCTTGAAAGATGAATGGGATTCAGTTAGGCAGAAAGAATAAAAGAAAGAGGAGAGGGAGGGAGAGAGGAAGAAAGAAGGAAAGAGAGAAAGAAAGAAAAAGAAAGTAGAAATAACAAAGCTTTGGTGTGGCCAAAAAGATGGGTTTCATCAGAACAACAGGTTTACAGGTAAGGAATGAATGGAGACAGGTCTGGAGCTACAGACTACACAGGTGCTTTTTTTTTTTTTTCAAGATTTATTTATTCAGCTGGAAATCAGAGTTACACAGAGAGAGGAGGAGAGGCTGAGAGAGAGAGAGGTCTTCCATCTGCTAGTTCACTCCCCAATTGGCCACAACAGCTGGAATTGTGCCAATTAGAAGCCAGGAGAAACGAGCTTCCTCCGGGTCTCTCACGTGGGTGCAGGGGCCCAAGGAATTGGGCTGTCTTCCACTGCTTTCCCAAGCCATAACAGAAAGTTGGATTGGAAGTGGAGCAGCTGGGACTTGAATCGGCGCCCATATGGAATGCCAGCACTGCATTCTATATGGCCTGGAGAGGCAGTAGAAGATGGCCCAAGTCCTTGGGCTCCTGCACCCACATGGGAGACCTGGAAGAAGCTCCTGGCTCTGGGCTTCAGATCGGCCCAGCTCTGGCCATTGTGGCCATTGTGGCCATGAGTGAACCAGTGGATGGAAGACCTCTTTCCTCATCTTGCCTCTCTGAAACTCTGATTTCAAATAAATAAATCAATCTTCAAAAAAAAAGTTCTAATAAGAGTAGTTTACAGTCTATAAACACCAATCATGAAACACGTCAACCAATCAGTATTCCAATGACCACGGCTGCATTCTCATGAAATACAACATGACAAAAAGGAAAGATATCCAGGTAGCAAATCACAATGCCAATGACAACTACATGGGAAATGAGACAGTAAGGTCACACCACAGACTCCTTAAGGTTGCCCCCAGAGGACAGCCCAACAGCCCCAAAAGATACCAGGAATAGCTCCATCTGTCTATCAGCTTAATGTGCAGATCCCTTCTCTAGACCAAGCCTGTGCTCCAGAACCACAGGGACTGTGTGACCATGACCTACTTAATCCTCCTGTTATCCAAAGAGGGGGTAGAGGGACAGTGCTGTGGCACAGCGGGTTAAAGTCACAGCCTACAGTGCTGGCACCGGTTCAAGTTCCGGCTGTTCCATTTCCAATCCAGCTCCCTGTTAACGCACCTGGGAAAGCCGTAAGAGACAGCTCAAGTTCTTGGGCCCCTGCACCCATGTGGGAGACCCAGAAGCTCCTGGCTTCAGATCAGCCCAGTTCCAGCTGTTGTGGACATTTGGAGAGAACCAGCAGATGGAAGATCTCTCCTTTTCTCTTTCCTCCTCTAACTCAGCCTTTCAAATAAATAAACTTTAATAAAAAAAAATACAGGAAAAGCAGATTTGCATTAAGTAGCTAACTGCCTTAGATTTCCAATAGTCCATCCTACTGTGAACTCCTGTGTCTCAATATTGCTTACAAAACAAGGAAACTGGAGACATAAAGCAAGCAAAAGTGGGGTCAGGGTAATGGAGAGGAGTATAAGTAGCAAAAGGGAAAAAAAAAAGTGTTAAGCCACTGGATGCCTCAACTTCCAATTCACACTGACTATAGGCATTTTCTAAAATGTGCATTTCAAAGCACTTCTACTTTACTCCTTTCTCTTTTTGGGGGGAGGTGAAACAGTGACAGGATACAACGAAATTGTAATTTTGGCAAAGCTGATACTAGGACCTGTTCTGTCTCTAGTGACTAAATGACCAGACTGAATCTGCTCATTAGTAAAAGTGGCAAGCTTTCATTACCATAAGTCGGTCTTTATTATACCTCCGCTTATTTTTGCAGTGTCAGGCACTAACAGACATTCTATAGTGTCTCCTTCCAGAAGATTCTACCGCCTATACCTCTGTGGAAAAATCACTAACTTCAGGAAGCCCCAATTTCCTCACTTGTAAAACCAGAGTGAGGCCTTCAGTGTCGCTTGCAGATTGGATAATTATGTAAGAGTGCTTGTCACCACAGAGCAATGCAAACATAAAGGATACTTGTGTATAACACTATAGCAACTCTCCTTTTACCTCCTAGAACTGAAAACATCACGAGGTTAAACAACCCTTATCCTGCAAGATCAGGAAAGGCAAGGCCACACCTACCTGATCTCTTCCATCAATGCACCCTCGAAAAATTCAAGGCCTTCCCACATTAATCTTATCATTGGGCGAGCAGAGAGGCTACCAGAAACAGAGGGGCAAAGGGCCAGCGTAAAGTGATTTCGCCTCAGCAGACAAGGAAAGCCTGGCTTTTCACCAGCTCAGGCCTCATCTACCGAGCCTCTTCTTCCATCCGCGGAGAAACTATTTCCTACTCCTGGGCTCCACGGAGCTGTGTGGGAGCGGGGACCCAGCACCCCGAATGCACATCCCGCTGCGACCTCCACCTGCTCAGTGCCCAACGAGGCCCGCCCCCCTTCGCCCACATTCAGCTCTCCCTTAGACCCACGGCCCCACGTCGAGTCCGGGACCCCATCGCAGAACCTCCAAAACGTTAACATTCCTGCACGGCGGAGCCCCGCCGGCTCTGCCTGCCACGTCTGCGGCTTCACGAACTATGGCGCTGCAGACTAAGGTTACCAACGGCACAGCCTGCCAGCATCCCCAGTCGGAGCTCCACAGCTCACGGCCCACTTCCTCCGCTGGCTCCGCCCACTTCCTCCGCTGGCTCCGCCCCGCAGCGGCCGAGAGAAACCTCCGCCTCTGGAACCAATCGGGACAGGCAAGCCGGAGGAGCGCTTACGGTCAGCCGTCGCTACCAATAGAAACTCCTTCACTAGCGCGCCGCGCAGTTTCCGCGCTTCCGGTCTTGCGCAAGATGCTCACCGGGTTCCCGTGGAGGCTGCGGCGGGGAGGCGGAGCGTGGCCTCCGATTGGGTGAGGAGGGGGCGGAGCTCGCGAACACCACTCTTTTGCCTAGTGGGGGCTGCCGAGCCCAAGCTGCTGACTGTCCTGTGCTGGCGGAGCAGCAGTCGTCCCTGGGTGGACATCTGTCTGGCCGGCTACGGTGGGAAGGGGCGCGTGGGCTTAGCGGTAGGGTGACGCTCCCACTCCCACTCCTACTCCCTGACGTTTAGGGACCAACTCAAAGCTGTGCAGATTGGATAATTATGTAAGAGTGCTTATCACCACAGCGCCCCGAGCTGGGTGTTTTCCGCGCTTCTGGGGAAGGGCACTTTCGGGGCGCGTGTTAGCGCTTCGCAGAGCGGCCCCAAGAATGCTCGAGTGCTCAGCACCCTCTGCCTCGTTCTCTTGAAGAATCAGCACCGTGCGCTCTGAACTGCGGTTTCTTCCCGGCATTGGGCAGGCGACAGGGTGTGAGGGTGCTGGGGCGGCTGCAGTGCTGTGGACAGAACCGGGAAGGAGGGAGGGTCTGGTGCGAGAGGCGGACGCCCAGCCGCTCTCAGCAATGCCAGCCCGGCCTGGGGACCCACGGCGCCTCTGCAAGCTCGTGCAGGAGGGTCGGCTGCAGGCCCTGCAGGAGGAGTTGCGGGTGGCTGGAAGCTGCCAGGGGCCGGCCGGGGACACCCTCCTGCACTGTGCCGCCCGCCACGGGCGTCTGGACATCCTGACCTATCTGGCCGAGGCGTGGGGCATGGACATCGAAGCCGCTAACCAGGACTACAAGCGGCCTCTGCACGAGGCTGCCTCCATGGGCCACCGGAACTGCGTGCACTACCTGCTGGGCCGAGGGGCAGCGGTCGACTGTTTGAAGAAGGCCGACTGGTAGGTGGCCAGGATCCAGATAGACGCCCCGCCCACCTACTGCCTGTAGAAACGTCGGGTTTTGTGTACTGCATCCACCTTTTTCGACATCATAGCTTTTTTCAGCGCCTAGACCTCTACCTAGGCTTGCTCTACGGCAGGATCCTCCTGCCCCAACCTTCCTCTATAGTGGAAATAACTTGTGGTGTGCTTAATTCCTGCCCTTGGCGGGGAGGGGAGAGTTAGCTGGCTGGTTGGGGCAATCATTTCCCCTCGCAAGGTAGAGAACAGTGTAGATTGTAACTTTACAATGTTCCCAAACTACATGTAGTCCCCAATGTGATGTTCTGGGAACACTAAATTATTACTTCAACAATTGCGTTGTTTTAATTGACATTGCTACAATCAATATACTCATTCAAGTTTCATCAGCTATACACACATTTCTGTAGAGCCCTGTGCAATTTTATCATGCGTATAGCCTTGCAAAACCACTACCACAATCAAGATATGCTACTGTACCACTACGCCAATTCCATTTTGTTTGTTAGATTGAACAGGTTTTCAGTACTCATTACGTCAGGTTCCTTGGGGGTTGTGTACCTCTTAAGGTTCAGAACATCATGAAGTGCCTGCGTTCCAATGATTCCTGTTCAGAAATAAATAAGAAACACAGGACAGAGTTATATTTAAATGAAGTAACCATCCCCACTGGGAATATGGATCCCTGCTGTACTGTGAAGAGCTTGTAAGCAGCTTTGCCTCCCAGCTGCCCTTTCTGTAGGTACACATTCAGCACAGTCTCCCCTTGTCTTCACAGTGGGCAGGCAGATTGCCAGCCAGAGCAATTTTCGTGGCTCCCAGACCCCCGAATCCTCTAGTGCCAAAGGATGTACATTTTCTGAAGACCTGACCCCTCACTGCTGTCTCAGCCGCCTTCCCTCTGACAGTTTCTCCTGGTTGGCCTTAGGACTCCTCTGATGATGGCTTGCACAAGGAAGAATCTTGAGGTGATCCAGGACCTTGTGGAACACGGTGCCAATCCACTTCTGAAGAACAAAGATGGCTGGAACAGTTTCCACATTGCCAGTCGAGCAGGCGACCCTGTGATCCTCCAGTACTTGCTCACTGTTTGCCCAGATGCTTGGAAGACAGAGAGCAAAATTAGAAGAACTCCTCTGCATACCGCAGGTAAGGCCTGCAGCTCTGCAGCATGCAGGCACACATGGGCAGCCTGCCTCACCCAGCACTGTTGTTCAAGTCATCTGCAGAACAGAGGCATTGGGAAAGTAGAGGGCAGGGAGTAGGAGAACCCTGAGACCTTTTGGCAAATAATTAGTTTCCTAAGCTAATGTAACTCAACAAGCATGCTCTTCTTGTATGCACTTTTCATGTGCATCTGTATTATCCTCCAAGTTAGATGATAAGCTGGTCCCGTTCCTTCCAAAGTCCTTGACTTTGTGCAAGGGACTTGGGTCTCTTGTGAGCAAGTCTCCTCGGCCCCAAAAACTGATAGTAATGATACCCAAGTTGCAAGCTTGTTGTAGGGTTTAAGGAGCACGGTAGACGTGTGTAAACCCCTTAGCATGATGGTAGGCAGTGAATGAGCACAGCTGTGATTTTCTTGGATCATTTTCCATTGGTATTATTAAAGGCAGGAGAAGGTACATGTCCTCACAACCTTAGTGATACCTACCATGCTGCTGTAATTGAAATAAATTTAAATGTTTCTAGTTAAATACCTGGGCCCAAATGTATTTGACTTATCTAATGATAATGCCAGATATAAAATTGAGAGGCAGTTTTCATTGTCTGGAATAGTGATTGTTTACTCTGAATTTTCGTATTCTTTTCTTATTCTCCCTTATTCCCTGAGTTATCTTTTACTTCCCACCCTCTCCCCCTTCTTCCCTTTTTCTCTTCCTCCAAGTGACAGTTAAATAGAGAGCTCCCATCTAGTTGTTCACTTTCCTGGCCAGGGCTTAAGATGAGAGCTCAGAGTTCAATCCAGGCCTCCCTCCTAGGTAGTAGGAACCCAATTATTTGAGCTATCACCACAGCTTCCCAAGGTCTGCATTAGCAGGAAAATAAAGTCAAGTGCTAGAACCAGGTGTTGGACCCAGGTACTTTAATATAGGACATGACCATCTTAACTGCTAAGCTAAATGCCCACCCCATCGCTTAGTTTAAATTAGTAAAACAAAACTTCTGGACCTAACAAGAAGTGGACACTAAAGGGCTCACTTATCTTGACCTAGAAATTTGTAAATTAACTTTTATCCTCCTGGATAGTACATTGAATTAAGGTATAGGACGTCTAGTTTCTCTCAAAGTCACTACCTTTGATGTGATATAGACCAGGAAATATGCATACAATTTTATAGCCACAATTGGAATTAAAGATTAAGAAATCTTTTTCAAACTTTGCAGGTTATAAAAAAACAGAAAAACTTTGCAAGTAAGTAGAAAAAGTTCAGTTCATGAATTATGTGACCTGCTTTCTCCCTAACACCCTTCATTCCCTTGGAGAAATAATCAACACTCAAAATAGTGGAGAGGAGACAGATAGTCAAAAGCTTTTGTGACTATAGTTAATAGAATTAAATTTCTGATTATTTTGTTATAAAGTGATATTAAGATGTTTTGTGGGCCAGCATTGTGCCAGTGGGTTAAGCTGTACCCCATATTGGAGTGCCAGTGAGTCCCAGCTGCTCCTCTTCCCATCTAGCTCCTAGGAAAGCAGTGGAAGATGGCCCAAGTACTGCCGCTCATGTGGGAGACCCCAATGGAGTTATGAGTCCTAGCTTTGGCCTGGACCAGACCCAGATGTTGTAGCCATTTAGAGAGTGAAACAATAGATGGAAGACCTCTATTTCTTGCTCCCTTACTTCTCCCTCTCCTCTCTCCCTCCTTCCTGCCCTCCTTCTCTGTCACTCTGCCATTCAAATAAATAAATCTTTTTTAACAAATGTTTTGTATTTTCCTAGGCAGAAACTGACTGGCCCTGGAGATTTGTCACACAAAAGTGGGGAGATAATTTATGATTGGAAGTTTGCCATGAAAGTGCTCATATGATGACAGTGTCAGGTGTTGGCTGTGTGATTGTCAAGTGAAGGCATAATTTCTTATCACTTATGTGGTTAAATTTTTATTCTTCTAGGGCAGTAGCAGTGAACTTAAAATTTAATTACTCCTTCCTGTAAGTCTTGACTACCAGTTGGGGCAGAGAATGGAGCCAGAAAGAAAGAAGCATTTTGAATATGCACTAAAAAAACTCTGTTTTCTCAACTCTCTTCTTCCAGCAATGCATGGCTGTCTTGAAGCAGTAAAAGTGCTTCTTAAGAGGTGAGAACAAAAAAGCAAATTGGGGGAAATATTTGTTAATTATTTCAAGGAGTTAATATTGGTGCTACATAAAAAGCTCAGATCAAGAAAGAAACTGGGCTTCCAAAAGACAGATGAATAAAGGACATAAGCAGATAACTAAAAGAATATAAAACAAAAATAGCTAATGAACACATGGGGAAATGTTCATAGTGGCAAAATCATCCATTTTTCTGTTTATTCGACAAGCATGCATATTTATATATTTATTGCCTAATAGAAACGAAACCCTGTGCCAAATGTAGAGACTTTAACCAATGAAACAGGTGTGCTTCCTATCCTCATAGAGTTAACAGGAAAGAAAGTCTAAGTTAGTACTCTCAGTCTGATAAGCATTATAAGGACCTACAGGATCCCTACAGCACATAATAAGAATGTCCAGCTTGGCCTGGAAGTAAGGAATCTATATGCCATTGATTTTTAAGCTGTGAGCTTAAGGAGGAATAGCAATGAGCTGAATGTGGAAGCAAAGGAGTCTTCCAGACAGAGGTAGCAGCATCTGTGGGTGCTCTGAGCCAGGAAGAAGCACAGTATGTTTGAGAAATTGGAAAGTTCATAATGTGCTGATACCTTAACAGAGTTGGAAGAATGAGCTCTGTAGGCTATGATATTACTCTGAGCTTGGAAGATGCCATTGAAGTGTTTTAAGTGGAAGAGTAACAAGAAAATTTCAAATATCCTTTATTCTCTGGTGAAAATAGGGAATGGGTGGAGCGGGGATTGCATAAGATAATGTTGTTCAGCCGTTTGGAAGGCTGTTGCAATGAAACAGGAGAGAGATGGTGATAGCTGAATTAGAGATGACTGTAGGAATGAAGAAAAAGCTTTGGAGATATTTAAAAAGTAGAATCAACAGGGCCAGGTGAATAAATTGATGAAAGGAATGAGAGGGAAGGAGAAGTCAAGGATGACTCAAGTGTGGTGGTGCAAGCGCCATTTCCAGAACCTGGGGGAGGGGGAGGGGAGTAGAGCAGATTTGGAGGAGATATTTTCGCTTCTGGATGCACTGAGTTTCAAGTACTTGTGAGATACCCAAGTGAAGACATCATGGAAGCAGGTGTAGACACAGATAACTGAGATAGAAATGTGGAGCTTATCTACATAGAGATGATGACTGGAGCCAGAAGAACGGAAGATACAACCTGAGAGACCACCTATTGCAAGATAATAGAAGAATACTTGACACCGTGCCTTGAGAGCATTGCTCTGTGGGAGGCTTGCCTCTCAGAAATGAGAACATACTTGATTGTCTGCAAACCTAAAGCTATTTTTTCCCTTTATTGATTCAAAAAAAAAACATTTTGGGAGGGCACTTCCAGTGTGTTACAGTCCCGGTGATAAAGTAGCACCGTACTTTTTTTTTCAACAGTGCCTATAGGATAGTGTGGAAGACAAGCATAAACAATCCCACAAATAAATATCATGTAATTCACCAAGTGTGGTAACAAAATCAATGAGAAGTACAAAATGCTGTAAGAGAGCTGAGATCCTCACATAGATGGGGGAAGCAGAGAGGACAGGTCAGGCAAGGCCCTTGTTGAGGTCACTTACCTTGAGACTCTTGAAGGATACGTTGGAGTTAGCCAGGAGAGGAGTAGAGCAGTAATGTTCTAAACAGAGGGCCCAGAAGGTGCAGAGGCAGGAAAAGGCCCAGCAGCAGGAGGACCAGGAAGCAGGGAGGAGCATGGCGAGCCTGGGGTGGGGAGCTCTGGAGTGATGAGCAGGTGCCATAGAGGTCATGCAGTAGAGAGCAGTTAAAGGTTTTTAAACAGGAATGACCTTCCGAGTTAAACGGGGTTGCGGGGGACAATCATGGTTGCTGTGGAGAACTGTGCAATGAGGCAGAAGTCAGCATGAGAAGACCGTTAGAAGGCTTATGGCCAACAGATTTGGTCTTAAGAGTGAAAGCAGAGGTGGAGGGAAGGATACTGATGTTTTAAATATTTTGTTTGTAGAACTGAGAGATTTGAGTAATAGCTTGGTTATGAGTATAAGGACAGGCAATGGCAAGGATGACTTCTTCTGGCCTGAGAAACTGGAGAGACAAAGATGCCCTCGACTGGGATGGAGAAGGTTGAGGAGGAGGGGTTTACTGAAGGTGGTGATCCGCATGCTCCCAAAGACCTAGAGCTCAGTGTGCAGACCATTTGTACGGCACACAGTCTACTTGCTGATGATCAGTTGTCAGCTGTCATTGGGTATGAAGTGGCAAATGTTCTCAACTCCCTTGTTTTGTGTTTTGGCTCTAGATGCCAGTATGAACCAAATAGCAGAGACAACTGTGGCATTACCCCCTTTATGGATGCAATTCAGTGTGGTCACATCGATATAGCCAAGCTGCTCCTTGAAAAACATGAGGTATAAAAATGGTTTTCTTTTATTCCATCAGTCATACAAATTTTAGATCATAGGCCAGGTAGAGCACTTTGTTATTAAGTAAAAGGTGAAAGATTCATGTGATCTGAAGAGAAACCAGAGTGTACACCTTGTTATTTAGAACCTGGGTTCAAGTCCAAGCTCTGCCAAGTTACTCCTGTGGGACCCTGTTGACCTCTTTAAGCATCAATGTTCCCATCTATAAAATGGAGACAAATTTAATTTCTTCATAATGTTCCTATAGGTTTAATAATATAGTGTGCAGAAAGCATTTAGTAAAGTAAATATCTAATAAATAGCAACATACTCAATAGTAATAACACAGTAAAAATTTTGGCACTATAGCCTGGACCACTGATTCTAAACCATTATTTTGGTTGGAGAGTCCTTTCAGAATCATACAAAAGTTGTTTATTTTCTGCCCAAAGAAATGTACACAGACAACTAAGTTTTCCCAAAATATCAGCAGGTACATGGACCCAGTTAAAACTTATTTGAAAGGCAGAGAGAAAGGGAGAGACAGAGAGATCTTCTGTCCTCTGGTTCACTCCCCAAATGACCATATTGACCTGGGCTAGGCTAGGCCAAAGCCAGAAACCTGAAGTTCCATCTTGGTCCCCAGTGTGGGTGGCAGGAGCCCATATACTTGAGCTGTCTTCCACTGCCTTCCCAGACTCATCAACAGGGAGCTGGATCAGAATTGGGATGGCCAGGACTTGAACCTTTGTTCATTTGGGATGCCAACATCACAGGTGGCAGCTTAACCCACTGTATCAGTTTTAGCCCCTCTCTGCTTCTTACCTTATCTGCTACTCTCTCCTGTCTACTAGGCTTGCTTTTCAGCTGAGGATAGCCTGGGACTCCAGGCTCTGCACAGAGCAGCAATCACTGGGCAAAATGAAGCCATTCGATTCTTGGTGTCTGATCTTGGTATGGATGTGGATGTGAGAGCAGCATCAACCCACCTCACAGCACTTCATTACGCGGCTAAGGTTGGTTTTTTTCTTCCTTACCCTTACCCTCGTCCACTAATGGATATTTCTGTATTCCTGGTTTCTTTGGCTCCCTTTCTGTAGAAGCTGCCCTTGTAAACTCCTAAAATATTTATGATTCTGAATCCCTTTATCCTTTTTAAATAGAAACATGACTTACCTGTTTTCTAAGCAAATACTAGGGTTGGAAAAAGAATCCTTATTCCATACAGTGCCTGAGCTGTGCTCCCTCCTCCCTTTTGTTTTCAGGAATAATGTGATTTGAAGCCTCAGGGATCCGTTGTATGAGCTTCGCAGCTCTCTACCTGGATTTCAGAAGTTCAGATCTCTCACTTGGGAGAGGAAATTGCCTTACTGGGTCCTCTACTATGTGAAACACTGAAAATATGTAAATTTTTCCTCTAGCAAAGAAACTTTTATATTTTAGGAGGGTTTTTTGCATATTTATTATTTATTGGCTGTGTGCCTTGTTTTTCTAGCAGCAGAATAAATTCTTCCCCCTTCATTACACTCTCCTGCCTGATTTCCCCCTTGTGGGCAGGTGGGTAGGTATATAATAAAGGAATGAGTCTGTTCTGGAGCTACAGGAAGAGAAAGCCAATGGATTCTCCCACAGGGAAATTGAATCTATAACCTTTATTTTAATTAAAGCCTATTAATAGAATAACTGGTAGACAAACAGTATATAAATTACAATACTAGCTGTAATAGAAATCCTATTTCTAAGAGGTTACAATGTTTTCTAGTTTGCTTTACAGATTCTAGCAAAGACTTCATGTATTTGTTTAGGAAATTTTGGAATTGTGGGTTCTGAATAAATCACAGTATTTAAATTGCTTGCATTGATGGAAACACAACTGGCTTGGGTCAGTAGTTTGGCCTGCAAAGTTGGTAATCTGTTTTCTCCACTTCATCTTACACAAAAGGCGGAAAAACAACAATCATCTATATTCTAAATAATTAAATATCACCAAAATATTTATTTAATGACTTATACTAGTATTTGATATAGTAAGTCTACCTTTGGCTATGGAAATTCAGTTTTAGCAGTTGATTGTTTTACAAAAGATACCTAATGTTCATTAGAGATTGTGTTTAGAAGTTTGCTTTTGTTCTTACAAACATTGATAATGAATTTATTTTAACACCCAGGAAGGACATATTAGCACAATTCAGACTCTCTTATCCTTGGGTGCTGACATCAACTCTAGAGATGAAAGAAATCGATCAGGTACAGCTTCACTTTATATATGCCTTGAAAATTATGAGTAAATTGAATGTAAGCAGTACACATAGTTTCATATTAAAAACATTGGTTTAGGGGCATGCGTTTGGCCTAGTAGTTAAGATGCTGCTTAAGATATCAGTTAAGGCTGGCGCTGCAGCTCAATAGGCTAATTCTCCGCCTACGGTGCCAGCACACCAGGTTCTAGTCCCGGTTGGGGCGCCAGATTCTGTCCCAGTTGCTCCTCTTCCTGTCCAGCTCTCTGCTGTGGCCCGGGAGTGCAGTGGAGGATGGCCCAAGTGCTTGGGCCCTGCACCCCTTGGGAGACCAGGAGAAGCACCTGGCTCCTGGCTTCGGATCAGTGCAGTGTGCCGGCTGCGGTGTGCCGGCCGCAGTTCACCAGCTGCAGCAGCCACTGGGGGGTGAACCAACGGCAAAGGAAGACCTTTCTCTCTGTCTCTCTCTCTCACTGTCCACTCTGCCTGTCCCAAAAAAATTAAAAATAAAAAAATAAAAAAGATATCAGTTAAGATGCTGGATTCCTGCTAGTGCAGACCCTGGGATATAGAAGGTGATGATAGCTCAGGTTGTTGGGTCCCTGCCACTCATATGGGAGACCTGGACTGAGTTCCTGGATCCTGGCTCCATCCCCAGTCCTGGCCATTACAGGTATTGAGTAGACCAGCAAGTGGGAGCTTGCTCACTCCTTGCCCCTTGAAATAAATAAAATTAGTTTCATATTTTAGCAGTTACTCATCAACTTTTCTTAAAAAACTTTTCCTCTGTTTGTAAAGTTATAGAATTATTGCTATTGCCATGACAATGATTATTGCTACTCATTATTACTGCTGTTGTTACTGTTGCTTTTATTATTTTTTAAAAAGATTTATTTGAAATACAGAGTTACAGAGAGAGAGAGAGATCCTCCATTTGCTGGTTCACTCCCCAAATAGCTGCAATGGCTACAGCTGGGCCAGACAGAAGCTAGGAGTCAGCAGCTTCCTTCAGGTCTCCCACGTGATGCAAGGGTCCAAGCACTTAGAGCCTGAAACAAATACATATGGCAATATCTCCAAGTTCCCCATTCATATCTCCTGCAAGGCCCTAGAGCAACATGTGCCAGAGAATGACTCGTCAGATGCTGAGGAAAAAGATGATGAGGGTGCCCAGCACTGTGGCACAATTTAATCCTCCACCTGCGGCACAGGCATCCCATATGGGCGGTGGTTCTAGTCCCGGCTGCTCCTCTTCCGATCCGGCTCTCTCCTGTGGCCTGCGAAACCAGTGGAAATTGGCCCAAGTCCTTGGGCCCCTGCATCCACGTGGGAGACCTGAAGGAAGCTGCTGGCTCCTGGCTTCGGACTGGCTCAGCTTTAGTCATTGAGGCCATTTGGGGAGTGAACCAGTGGATGGAAGACCTTTCTCTGTGTCTCTCCCTCTCACTGTCTGTAACTCTACCTCTCAAGTGAATAAATAGAAATCTTAAAAAAAAAAAAAAAAAGATGATGAAGATGTGGGGAAAAGAGAATTTGTGTGTGACGATGAAAAGGGTGAGGGGAGTTAGGTAATTTGGGAAGATGGGTAAACTGGATGCCAGTGGTGATGAAGCTCAGGATGATAAGTGAAGAGGAAGAATAAAAGTCCCTTAATGCAAAACACAAAGGCAAAACAGCCTTGAGAGGACCTTTGCCGTGAAAACAAGCCTATGTAGAGAGTATGAACAGGGGACAGAGCCCCATGGCAAAAGTCAGAGCCACATGATCTCCCTGCAAACATCTATAAACAGGACTGAACATTTAAGAAAAGAGAAAATGATTCTCAGAGCTGATTCTTGGGACTTGGGCCGCAGAATAAACCCTCTAATTAACATTCTGTGAGCCAATGGCTATCTTACAAAGACTTAGTTGGATTTTTTTAAAAGATTTTATTTATTTGCTTCAAAGAATTACAGAGTGTCAGAGGCAGAGAGACAGAGAGAGAGAAAGTAAGTCTTCCATCTGCTGGTTCACTCCCAAAATGACCGCAATGGCTGGAGCTGAGCTGATCAGTAGCCAGGAGCTTCTTCCAGGTCTTCCATGTGGGTGCAAGAGCCCAAGGACTTGGGCCATCTTCCGCTGCTTTCCCTGGCCATAGCAAAGAGCTGGATCAGAAGTGGACCAGTGGGGACTCGAACTGGCACCTATATGGAATGCTGGCATGGCAGGTGGAGGCTTTACCTGCTATGCCACAGTGCCAGCCCTTTTAGTGGGATCTTTTAAGATACGTCAGAGCTCTGCGGTAACAGCTTACTCTGTTGCTGGAAAGTTGAGCTGCTAAGTCCAGGAAAGGGTCACAGGCTTTCTTCTCAGGGCAGGGCAGCAGAACCACCAGTTTTTTTGGACTCTCAGTACATAACAAACTTCAGCACTGATTTCTTCATATGGAATAGGAAGATTTGTCAGTAGGGTTTTTTTTTTGGTCACACCATTCCTACCTATAGTAACACATTTACTTTTAAGAAAATTCAACAAAGCTTAGAGTTTTATGTACCATTTAAAATCTGTTTTATTAGCACACAGGAGTGACAGTGAGTTGGACTAGTCTCCTGTTTCTCATTAACTTGCTTGGTTGCTTTAGGTCAGTTTCTTAAATCCTCTCTAACTGCTTTTGTTGTCTTTAAAGCTGTTTAAACTCAGGTTAACAAGAAAAAAATACTTTGATCCAGAATAGGCAAAGGCATAGTGATAGATTATGAAAGCATAAACCTGTATAATTGAATGAACCAATACTTTGAGGGCAGTTGACTCACACAGTATTGCTCTAGGGGTCATGTACTAAGCTTGTGTCATTTTTGTCACCCCTCAGCCCTGCATTTGGCCTGTGCAGGTCAGCACTTGGCTTGTGCTGAGTTTCTCCTACAGTCGGGGCTGAAGGATTCTGCAGACATTACAGGCACCCTGGCTCAGCAGCTCAGCGAGAGAGTGGATATGCCTCAGGGCTTTGACCGCAGTGCAACGACTTGAGCATGTTTCTGAAAGCAGGCCAGGAAGTACATGGTAATTTACATGCTGTTTTCTAAATCACTGACTGATTCCGTGAAATCAGTCCCTAAGCAGTGTTGTTTTGTTTTGTTTTGTTTTTAAAGATTTATTTATTTGAAAGTCAGAGTTACACAGAGAGAGGAGAGGCAGAGAGAGGTCTTCCATCCAATGGTTCACTCCCCAATTGGCCGCAACGGCAAGGGCTGTGCTGATCCGAAGCCAGGAGCCAGGAACCTCTTCTGGGTCTCCCACATGGGTGCAGGGGCCCAAGGACTTGGATCATCTTCCACTGCTTTCCCAGGCCATAACAGAGAGCTGCATCAGAAGTGAAGCAGCTGGGTCTCAAACTGGTGCCCATATGGGATGCCGACGCTTCAGGCCAGGGCCTTAACCTGCTGAGCCACAGCGCCGGCACCCCTAAGCAGTGCTTTCCCTCTCCTCCCACTGTTCCTCCCACTTCATGCTCCACTTCTGCTGAAGATTTCCCAGATGACCCAGAGGCTGAGTTCTTGGCTCCAGGATTGGCATGCTGTGGAATTTTGAGCACAGTTGTGATCATTCCACAGTCCACATTACACTGTTTCTGCCCTTAAAGTGGAATTAGGTAATGTTTATGAAGTCCATCTCTGAAATCCTTAGAGAAGCATGTAACATACATGAATATAATACATGCTTTTATAAATATTTGAAATGTCTTATAGGGAGTACTGCATGAAAACTAATGATACAATTAAAAATATAACATAAATTGCTGTTAGCTTGAACCATAACACATAATTAATTTCTTCTTTATTAGGCTTTACTTGGCATACAGTGGTCCTACTTTTGGATTCAAAACTGGGAAGGAAATGCTTATAATGCGTTTATATAGACATTTGCAGGCAATTAATGAAAATATTCTACCTTTTAAACACTGCTAGGTAAACTATGAAGTTTTAGTCTTGGGGTTGTTGGTTTTTTTTTTTTTTAATTAATTTATTTATTTGAAAGTCAGAGTTACACAGAGAGAAAAAGAGAGGCAGAGAAAGAGAGAGGTCTTCTATCCACTGGTTCACTCCCCAGTTGGCCGCAGTGGTCAGAGCTGCGCTGACCAAAGCCAGGAGCCAGGAGCTTCTGGGTCTTCCCACGTGGGTGCAGGGGCCCAAGGACTTGGGCCATCTTCTACAGTTTTCCCAGGCCATAGCAGGGAGCTGGATTAGAAGTGGAGCAGCCAGGACTCAAATTGTTGCCTACATTGGATGCTGGCACTGTAAATGGCAGCTTAACCTGCTGTGCCACAGTGCCATCCCCCCCCCCTTTTTTTTTGGTTTGTTTTAATAGATGAGTTCTGTGTTAGCTCTTTTCAGGCGATAAATATAACCAGAAAATGCAACTAAGATATTTCCAAAAAGTTTTTTGTCAACTGAGATTAAGAATGGAATTTAGCTCTTAAAAACCCCACACATTACATTTTCTATTTCATGCCATCTATCCACCAAAGCCTCTGACTGTGGAAGAATGAAACATTGACATTATAACTTTAAAAAAAAATCTCAGTTCTCTTAAACAGATTAAAATGTAATGAGGTATTTAATTTCTTAAGGGTTTTTCCTTTTCATTTTTTTATAACATTTTCTGTGAAAGACTCTGATCTCTAATTTTTTAAAAAAGATTTATTTTATTCATGTGAAAAGCAGAGTTATAGAAAGAGAGAGAAACACACACAAAGATCTTCCTTCTGCTGGTTTACTCCCCAAATGGCCACAATGGCCAGGATTGGGCAAGGTGGAAGCCACAAACCTAGAACTCTACACAGGTCTCTCACACTGATGAAAGAGCTCAAGTACTTGGGCCGCCTTCTGCTGGCTTCCTAGACAGATTAGCAGAGAGCTGAGTCTGAAGTTGAGTACCCAGGACTCAAACCAGTGCTTATATGGATGCCGGTGTGTCACACTAGGGCTTAACCTCCTATGCCACAAAGTTAGCCCAAGACTCCAATCTTTTAAAAAAACACATGTGGGGCAGATGTTTGACACAGTGGTTAAGATGTCACATGGGAGGCTCACATCCCATGTCCAAGTGCCTATGTGCAAGTCTGTTCATTTCTTCTCATTCCAACTTCCTGCTAATGTGCACCCTGTGAGGCAAGCAGCCGATGGCCCAAGTACTTGGTTCCCTGTCAACCATGTAGAAGACCTGGATTGAGTTCCAAGAGTCAGCTTTGGCCTTGCGCAGCCCCAGCTGTAATGAGAATTTGGGGATTGAACCAGCTAATGGAAATGAAAGATCTCTCTCTTTCTCACTGCCTTTCCAATAAATAATAAATTTAAAAATTTTTTTTAGCCAGCACCGAGGCTCAATAGGCTAATCCTCCGCCTGCAGCACCAGCACCCTGGGTTCTGGTCCCTGTCGGGGCGCCGGATTCTGTCCCGGTTGCTCCTCTTCCAGTCCAGCTCTCTGCTGTGGCCCGGGAGTACAGTGGAGGATGGCCCAAGTCCTTGGGCCCTGCACCCACATGGGAGACCAGGAGAAGCACCTGCTCCTGGCTTCGGATCAGCGCAGTGCGCCAGGTGCAGCACGCCGGTCGCAGCGGCCATTGAGGGGTGAACCAACGGAAAAGGAAGACCTTTCTCTCTGTCTGTCTCTTTCACTGTCCACTCTGCCTGTCACAAAAAAAAAAAAAAAAAAAAAAAAAAATTTAATAATGCACATCAGTCGCAAGCAAGATTTAATCCTCTTCAGTGTAACCTTACAGGTACTTAATATACACCAACCTTTTCTTTAATACTTATTAATTTATCTGAAAGGTAGAGTTACAAAGAAACAGAAGGAGAGATAGAGATCTTCCATCCACTGGCTCACTCCTCAAATAGTGGGAACAGCCAAGGCTGTCCAATGCTAAAGCCAGGAGCCAGGAGCTTCTTCTGGATCTACCATGTGGGTACAGGGGCCCAAGCAGTTGGGCCATCTTCCGCTGCTTTTCCAGGTGCATTATTAGGAAGCTGTATCAGAAGTGGAACAGCCAGGACTCAAACAGTTGCCCACATGGGATGCCACATTGCAAGCCGCAGTTTAACCCATTGTGCCACAGTGCCAGCCCCTACACCCACCTTCTTTTCAGCCTTGTGCTCAGCTTGGTAAATAGCAAGAATTTCTAGTTTCTCTTCATTATTCCCAGATGGCATTGCAGATTCTTGCCTTTAACCACCAAATTAATATTCTCATACAAACACAGTCTTATCTTGTGACCTGCAAATCATACTCTACATCTACACTGATTTTGAGATTTGATTTCCATTTTGTTGTTGCTTCAGAGATATCTTTGCATTGATGTCCTTTAAGTATGAAGGTGATCCTCTTGTGTGGATATTTCATAAGTCCAAGAGGAACCCAAAGATCATCCTGGTACTAGCCAGTTTTCCCCCCTGGCACACACACAAACCTACCATTTGCAGCTATTCAGGTGCAGGGGCCCAAGCGCTTGAGCCATCCTCCACTGCCCTCCGGGGCCACAGCAGAGAGCTGGACTGGAAGAAGAGCAACCAGGACTAGAACCCGGCACCCATATGGGATGCTGGCGCTGCAGGCAGAAGATCAACCCACTGCACCACGGCGCCAGCCCCCTGTGTGTTGATTTTATATCCTACCACTTTACCAAACTTTTCTATGAGTTCCAGTAGTCTCACAGTGGAGTCTTTTGGATCTACTATATATAGAAACATGTCATTTCCAAATAGGGAGAGTTTGACTTCTTCCTTCCGCATGTGTATCCCTTTCATTTCTTTTTCTTTTTTTTTTAATCATTTTATTGGCTTTACTTTAAAAAAAAGAAAATCAGAGTTACACAAAAAGAGGAGAGGCACAGAGAGAAAGAGGTCTTCCATCCACTGGTTCACTCCCCAATTGGCCGCGATGGCCGAAGCCGTACTGATCCAAAGCCAGGAGCCAGGAGCTTCTTCTGGGTCTCTCACATGGGTGCAGAGGCCCAGGGACTTGGGCCATCTTCTGCTCTCGCAGGCCTTAGCAGAGAGCTGGATCGGAAGTGGAGCAGCCAGGTCTTGTGCTGGCCCCTCTTTTTCTTGCCTAATGGATATTGCTGAAACTTCCAGGACTGTATTGAATAGCAATGATGAGAGTGGGCATCCTTGTCTGGTTCCGGATCTTAGAGGGAATGCTTCCAGCTTTTCCCCGTTAAATAGGACGCTGTCCGTTGGTTTGTTATAAATTGCCTTCATTGGGGCTTGTGTTGTGGTGCAGTGGCTTAACACCCTGGCCTGAAGCACCAGCATCCCATATGGGCACCGGTTTGAGACCCAGCAGCTCCACTTCTAATCCAGCTCTCTGCTGTGGCCTGGGAGAGCAGTGGAAGATAGCCAAGGTCCTTGGGCTCCTGCACCCGTGTGGGGGACGCGGGGGAGGCTCCTGGCTCCTGGCTCCTGGCTCCTGGCTTTGGATCAGCGCAGCTCCGGCCGTTGCAGCCAATTGGGGAGTGAACCAACGGATGGAAGACCTCTTTCTCTCTGACTCTCCTCTCTCTGTGTAACTCTGACTTTCAAATAAATTGCCTTGATCGTATTGAGGGATGTTTCTTCTATACCCAACTTAAAGTTTTCATCATGAAAGGGTGTTGTATTTTATCATATGTTTTTTCTGCATCTATTGAGATAATCATACGATATTTGTTCTGCAGTTTATTAACATGATGTATCACATTAATTGATTTGTGATTGTTGAAACATCCCTGCATACCAGGGATAAATTTTTCATCCAGGTGAATGATTTTTCTGATGTGTTGTTGGATTCAGTTGGCTAGTATTTTTGTTGAGGATTTTTGCATCTATGTTCATCAGGGAAATTGGTCTGTATTTCTCTTTCTCTGTTGTATCTTTTTCAGGTTTAGGAATTAATGTGATGCTGGCTTCGTAGAAAGATTTTGGGAGGATCCCCTCCCTTTCAGTTGTTTTGAATAGCTTGAGAACAATTGGAGTTATTCTTTAAATGTCTGATAGAATTTAGCTTTGAAGCCATCTTGTCCTGGGCTTATCTTTGTTGGGAGGGTCTTTATTTCTGATTCAATTTCTGTCTTGGTTATTGGTCTGTTTAGGTTTTCTATATCTTCATGGACAATTTAGGTAGGTTGTATGTGTCCAGGAATCTATCCATTTTTTCTAGGTTTCCTGGTTTGTTGGCATACAGCTCTTTATAGCAACTTCTGATGAGTCTTTTTATTTCTGTGGTGTCTGTTGTTACATTTCTGTGGGGAGCAACTCAGACTAGACTAAGTTACTGAAATTAAGACTTATTCTATGCATCTGCTCTCCCACAATATGGCGCTGGGAGAGGAGTAAACAGCTTCTACACAGCTGCCTCCAGTTCAACCAATAAGCAGCAGGACCTGCTCCTGATTGGAGGAGAGCAGCGTACTCGGCATGTGTGTAGCAGAGTTGGGATTGGTGGAAGAGGACTATAAAGGAGGAGAGAGACAACATGCACCAGGAACATTTATGAGGAACATCTGAGCAGCCCCCGAGAGAGCCGGCCGGCAATGTGCCGCTCCCCCGCAGAAGTGGGGAAAGTGGCAGGGGGAACCGCCCTTCCACAGAGGTGGAAGGGTCGGTAGCCAACCAGGGAAGAACCAGCAGCAAACCCAGGGAGGGCCGAGCAGACAAAAGAACAGCGCAGGGTCCTGTGTCGTTCCTCCACGAAGAGGGGGAGCGACAATTTCCTTTTAAATTTCTAATTTTTTTTTATTTGGCTTTTTGTCTCCTTTTTTTGGTTAGGTGTGCCAAAGGTGTTTCACCTTTGTTTATTTTTTCAAAAAACCAGCTCTTTGTTTTGCTGATCTTTTGTATTGTTTCTTTGCTTTTGGTTTTGTTTATTTCTTCTCTGATTTTATTTCTTTTATCTTACTAGTTTTGGGTTTGGTTTGCTGCTTTTCTAGATCTTCGAGATGCATTGATAGTTCATTTATTTGGTGCCTTTCCAATTCCTTGATGTAGGCATCAATTGCTATAACTGTTCCTTTTAATACTGCTTTTGCTGTATCCCATAAGTTTTGATATGTATTATCATCTTCATTTGTTTCCAGAAATTTTTTGATTTCTCTTTTGATTTCTTCTATGACCCACTGTTCATTCAGGATCATGTTGTTCAGTCTCCTTGTGTTTGCATATGTTCTTGAGATTCCTGAGTTGTTGATATCCAGCTTCATTCTATTGTGGTCAGAGAAAATACATGGTATGATTTGATTTTTTTGAATTTGCTGAGACTTGCTTTACAGACTAGCATGTGGTCAGTCGTAGAAAAAGTTCCATGTACTGGTGAGAAGAATGTGAATTCTGCAACTATTGAATGGAGAACTCTGTAAATATCTGTAAGTTCCCTTTGGTCTAAGTGTCGGTTAACTGTGGTGTTGACTTGCTGATTTTCTGTCTGGTTGCTCTGTCCATTGCTGAAAGTGGGTTATTGGCCGGTGCCACGGCTCACTAGGCTAACTAATCCTTGCGGCACTGGCACACCGGGTTCTAGCCCAGGTTGGGGTGCCGGATTCTGTCCTGGTTGCCCCTCTTCCAGGCCAGCTCTCTGCTGTGGCCAGGGAGTGCAGTGGAGGATGGCCCAAGTCCTTGGGCCCTGCACCCCATGGGAGACCAGGATAAGTACCTGGCTCCTGCCATCGGATCAGCGCAGTGCGCCGGCCACAGTGGCCATTGGAGGGTGAACCAACGGCAAAGGAAGACCTTTCTCTCTGTCTCTCTCTCTCACTATCCACTCTGCCTGTCCAAAAAAAAAAAAAAAAAAAGTGGGTTATTGAAGTCTCCCATTACTATTGTATTGTAGCCTATGTCTCCCTTTAGATCCATTAGTATTTCTTTTAAATAGCCAGGTGCCCTGTAATTAGGTGCATATACATTTATAATAGGCACATCTTCCTGTTGAACTGATTGCTTCATCATCGCATAGTACCCTTCTTTGTCTCTTTTTAACAGTTTTTTTGTTAAAGTCTATTTTATCTGATATTAGGATGGCTACAACAGCTGTTTTTTGGTTTCTGTTAGCATGAAATGTCTTGCCATCCTTTCATTTTCAGTCTGCATGTATCTTTGTTGGTGAGATGTGTTTCTTGTAGGCAGCAAATAGATAGGTTTTTTTAAATCCATTCTGCCAGTCTGTATCTTTTAACTGAATAACTGTGGCTATTTACATTCAAGGTGACTATTGATAAGTAACTCCTTTCCTCTGCCATTTTTCATAAATATTCCTATTTTTTATTTTGGATTTTCTTTGTACTTCTCTGGGAGATTTTCTGCCTTCACCTTTTGTAGTGTTGACCATGTTTCTATGTTTCTGTGTGTAACATATCCTTGTAAGGCTGGACGGGTAATAACAAATTTTTTCAATACCTGTTATGGAAGGTCTTTCTTTCACCCTCGTTCATAAATGAGAGCTTTGCAGGATACAGCTTCAAACAAATAAATACAAATCTCTCAGGTAATGAGAAAAGGGAAGAGCTGGCACTAAATTTAATTTAACCTGGGACATTGCTAGAATTCACCAGCAGATGGCAGACCAGAAAAATAGCCTTTATTCTCCTAGATATTTTTTAAAGGCTTATTGTAAAATATAGAAAACATAGAAAGTAGTAAAGGAAAAAATGAAAATAACCTTTGCTTCCACCACCCAGAAATAACTACTCTGTCAGTCTTTTTAAATGTATGTGGCTGAGATGAAGCTGTATGCATAATTTTTTCCTTAACTATAGTACAAGAAAAATCCTAAGGCTATTAAGAACCTTTTGAACTTTGTTTCTATGGTTTTCTAGTGTTCCCTCATATAATTGTCCACATTGATTCTTTTATGTTACCATTGGTTTGTCTTTGCTTTTTTTTTTCATATTTATTTATTTATTTGAAAGGCAGAGTTACAGAGAGGCAGAGGAAGAGTGAGAGAGATCCTCCATTTGCTGGTTCACTCCTCAAATGGCTGCAATGGCCCAAGCTGAGCTGATCTGAAGCCAGGAGCCAGGAGCTTCTTCCAGGTCTCTCATGTGGGTGCAGGGGCCCAAGGACTTGGGCCATCTTCTACTGCTTTCCTAGGCCATGGCAGAGATATGGATCAGAAGTGGAGCAGCCAGGACTCAAACTGATGCCCAAATGGGATGCTGGCACTCCAGGTGGCTGCTTTACCCACTATGCCACAGCACCAGCCCCGCTTTTTTGTTTTCTTTAAGTCATAGACAGTATAATCAGTAAAATCTGTTAAATTCAACTGAAAGCAAGGGCAAATAACAGGGACTGAAGAAAAGGCTGTTGGATTTCAATGATAGAAAGTTGGAGGCTAACCAAATGGTTGGGAGACAACCAGGGCCACACAGGTAGGGACATGAGCAACTCGATACTCTTTAAATATATTACATGGTAAGAATAGGAAAGAAATAGGGTGATTTGACAGGATAGTAGATTTTGTCAAAGAGGGTAAGGGGGTAGTGTGCTAACAGAGGGAAAAGCCATGGCTTCAAGCACTGTGCCACAGCTCCAGTCCCCATCAGTGGCTCTTCAGGAGTTCTTGCCAACTGGCCAGCGTCAGCATCACCTTTGGACTTGCTGGAAACACAAAGTGTCGGACTTCACCAATTCCACTGAGCTGGAAATATCAGGTATAGAGTCCATAAATCTGTGTGTGTTTAAGCATTTTAAGTTATTTATTTATCGCTTTAGAGACAGAGAAAGAGAAACAGGCAGAGAAAGCCCCTACACAGGGTTCATGCCTCATATGACCTCAGCAGCTAAGGCTGAAACAGGCAGAAGCCAGGACCCAGATCTCCCATGTGGAACCTACTACTTGAGCCATCACCTCTGCCTCCCAGAGTGTGTATTAGCAAGAAGTTGAAATCTGGAGCAGAGCCAGACCTTGAACCCAGGCACTCCAGTACGGGATGTGGACATCTCAACCCAGGGCTTACCTGCTGTGCCAAGTGCCCCCCCCCCCGCCCGCCCCGCCAATTTCTGTGTTTTAACAAATTCCCTGGACGATTCTGGAGAAGTGCTGTTCTGAATGAAGACAAGAAAGGAGCCCCCGGCCATGTGGACTGTTGGCTAACATTCCACAGGACAAATGAGGGTGTGCTCAAGCCTGGCTCAGACTTGGACTCTGGAACCAACACTTTCATCCTGTGCTCTCAGCTTCCTCAAGTGCCAAGCAATGTGTCACCTTGGTCCAGACTACCCCCGTGGCTGTGGTCGGGTCTGTCTGCCTCCAGAACCTGGATATTCTCCCTGGGAACTGGAGCAAAGCTAGTAAGTAATCCACGGTAGAGTTCAGTAGAGCAGTCCCCAGGGACCCCATATCTCCTTACTTTGTTTTTAATCTGTAGTATCGGTGGTTCACTTCCCGGTCCTGCAAGAATGGTTGGCAAGCCTCAGTGGTTAGGTGGGAGAAACACAGCCCTGGAACATGGAGATCTCGTTGTGCACAAAGGAAACAGTGTGGTCCTGTGAACAGCCTGGGAACTGAGATAGCAGCAGCACCGCCAACACAGCCCCAGGAAAGAGGGCGAGAAGCAATTTATTTCAGGGTTGTTCTCTTCTGATAGATGTAAAAAGCTACAGAAGAGTCTAAAGAGTACTGTAACTAAAACCCATATTCCCACCACCTAGAGTTCACTGCCAACTGCTGGGTCAAATGCAAAAGCAGCGTTTCAGAGCAGTGACGAGGCTAAGGCAGCATCTGGCACTGGGCTGGGGAGAGGGGAGAACAGAAAGGAGAGCAGTCAGAATAGGGAGAAACCAGCCAAGTATTTCTGAAATATTTTTTCACAAAGAATGTTCTTGGTCTTTTATCAGAAAACATTTGGAATATGAGGCTTCCACATAGCTACTATTAATAGGCTGTAAATTTGCCTTGCTGGAGGCTGGAGAGTTGGAATTAACAAATAATGAAGAACCGAAAAGTAGCTGGAGAGGGAGCCTGCTCTTTTCCTTGGGAATAAACACAACATGCTATGGCCACCCCACCACCACCTCCAAAGCGAACAGAACAGAAACAGGCTGGTCCAAGAGAAAGCAGGCCTTACATCATGCATGGGTAGGGCTTTCCCATCACCGTTGATGAAGCTGGAGCCAAACGCTGGAAGACCTAGAAGAGGAAACCATCAGCAAAGGCGTTCCCTCCCTGGCTGAGCTCGGACTAGTGCTGGTGTCACCCATCAAAGACACAGTAAGGGCTGGCGCCGTGGGTCACTAGGCTAATCCTGCACCTGTGGCACCAGCACCCTGGGTTCTAGTCCCAGTCGGGGCACCAGATTCTGTCCTGATTGCTCCTCTTCCAGTCCAGCTCTCTGCTGTGGCCCAGGAGGGCAGTGGAGAATGGCCCAGGTCCTTGGGCCCTGCACCCTCATGGGAGACCAGGAGGAAGCACCTGGCTCCTGGCTTCAGATTGGTGCAGCATGCCAGCTGCAACACGCTGGCCGTAGCGGCCACTTGGGCGGTGAACCAACGGAAAAAGACCTTTTTCTCTGTCTCTCTCTCTCACACTAACTCTGCCTGGCCAAAAAAAAAAAGACACAGTAAGACCATCAGCTGAAAAGTTTCACAAGCAACAAGCAACTAGTGCTCCTTCCCTGAGTGGGAAAAGAATGGAGGTGTAAGGCTGCAGGGCTGGTCCCCAAAGAGGACAAAACCATGTGGTGCTGACATGGGCACCCAGATGAGAAACCTGGATCAAGTTCAGAATTCCTGGCTTCTGCATGACATATCCCTGGCTGTTACGGCTATTTGTAGGAGTGAATCAGCAGATGGAAGATCTACCTCTCTCCACAAACTTTCCAAATAAAATGAAAACAAGTACAATTTTAAAATGTAGATATGTTCCATCCTCCTCCTTTTAAAATTTATTGTTGGATTCACAATGTGTTCAGGACAAAGCCCAAAGTCCTTAGAATGACAAATTATTTAGCCTGTCCCTTTAAAATTTATTCTCTGATTATGGCTCAAGTCTTCTACCACTTCCTGCCTTATATTTTGAGCTCATACAGAACAACTTGCAGGGGCCCACACGTGTTCTGATTCCTCTCACCAGGAATTCTCAATCTGGAACAGCCTCCCCCTCCCTCCACGCTCTCTGGCCTGACTCAGCTGAAGTGTCGCTTCCTCTGGCTCCCTTCCCCAGGGTTCCCATAGCACCCTATGCACACCTCCATCATCGCACTCACCACACTGTCCTCCTCCCTAGGCTGGGAGCACTTTTCGGCCCTGGACTGTGACTTTTATCCTCACATCCTCAGCGTGTAGCACACAGCATAGCACGTTCTGAGTGTTGGTGATCAGAGAAGGCTTCCTGGAAGAAATGACCAACTTGAGTCCTAACACATGGCTAGGAATTGCCCAGAGGAAAACAGGTCAGTCAGCTACCCGGAGGCAAGGGGGTCACATCGGACGGTTTCCATCATGGCTAAGGCAGTATTTGCTGCTTACTGGAACATTTTTTCTAGGGAAAGCCTTACTTTGCTTGGCCTAACGCTTCTGCCAAAACTATCTGCGGGCTTCGCAGCCAAAGTTTGCGATGGCCCCTCTCACCGAAGCAGCTGGAACGGGGCGGAACCAGCCAGGTGGCCAGTCCTTGCAGGGCTGGCACGGGGTTCCCCAGAAGGCGCCTCTGCTCTGAATCAGCTGACTCAACATAGAGCACGGGTTCTGCATCAGCCGGTGTACTCTCAGGGCCCGGAATCCAGGCGTGGAAGTGGGGACAGCATGACTCCCTCTCACCCGCTGGCACCCAGTCAGCACAAAGTTCCCTGTTCTTGCCACAGGAGGCTTCTTAACCACTATGTCTAATGCCTGCCCCCCTGTGGCTTCTTGCCTGCAGCAGGGCACGATCTGGGTCACTCAGTACAGAAGTGAACGCCGCACTGTAGCAGAACAGCGGGCCCAGGATTTCCCCGCTGCTCGATGGGATGCTTCACCCACAGTGGCATCTCCCTCTGAACCTTCCTGGACTGTGTCATTGGCCATCGACATGTTCTCTTCCATGCCGGGTGCCCAGGGTGGGTCTCTGGGAGGGGTGGAGGCTAATGGCTCAGCAGAGAGAGAGCAGGGAAAGGCAGTATAGAGAGATGCACTCTGAAAGCAGCCAGAATGATGACCTTTAAGATCCTGACACCCACAGGTATTTTCTCCAGGTTGCGGATGTATGATGCAGTTGATAAAATGGCAAGGGTCAGATGCCCATGTGAGTGCCCACCCTGGGGCTCAGACTGTGTGGCTTCATTCACTCAGTATCTTTACTGTTCCCACTCTTCAAGAGGTTACACCTGCCCTTGGTCCCCAGAGGGCACCTGGAGGCTGTCTGGGCAGCCTGCTGTGTATTCAGGTAGTGAGCAGTTTCCAGGGCCCAGGCAGATGGCTGGGGTTGCGACATAACATTGATGGAGCAGGCTGGCTGGGCAGGTGGCCCCGTACAGTGTCTGCAGTGGCACGGGGCTTCATAGAATGTAGAGCAACATGGTGGCTTAGAGGCTGTGGGACAGCCCCTGCTCGTTTGTCCAGCCTCCTTCTCCATCTGTGGTCTACCAGCTGGTGTACCAACTCTTCTTGTCTCATCCCCTTGACCACACTGAGCTTTCAATGCCTCAGGGCCTTTGTGATCACTTTGCCCTGCTTTGTGTGACCCTACCCCATTCTTTGCCTCGTGATTTAGGCCACAGAACCGGCCCTGCAATTATTGTTTCTTGGTTGGATTTTTGTAGCAGTCTCCTAACACGCTGTGCTGCTTTCACCCCATCGGCCTACAGTTTAAAAGGGCACCTCAAAAACATGGAAAATGGAATTGAAAGATAAGTGTTTGGGGATGGTGTTTGACATAGTGTTTAAGATGCCACTTGGCGCATTCTATATTTCCCATGAACTTTTTGAAGTATTTTCAGGTTTTCTACCCAGCATCCACAGTGACCTTTTTCCTAGGTAGCCCCTTGTTCTGACCCTCTAGTAGCTCATCTTACAGTCAAGCCCCTCCCCTCACTGTTCTCCAACTTTTACTGTCCCCTCTGCTCGCTCTCCTCAGCCCACACCAGCCCCCTGATTGTTTGCACATTTCAGATGCCTTGAGATTCTGCCGTTCCTCTTCACTTTTCTCTGAAAACTTTCCCCAGGATACTACATGGCAGTTCCTGCATTTCTCTGGTGTCTGTGTCCATCTGTCCCTTCTCAGTAAGGCCTTCCTAGACCACCTGTGATTGTGATTTACAATAAGAACCATAGCTGTTGATCTTTGTGCCCAGTTTTCTGGCACAGAGCTCCTGCCTAGCACTCCTGTTGATTGGGAAACAAGGATTTTAGGAGCACCACTCCCTTCCATCTGACTCTAACTTCATGTAGACAGTATCAGAAGGTAGTTAAACTGTAGGACACCCTCCTAGTGTTGGAGAACTGGTCAAGGAGGGGAAAACTCCACATACATTTTGGTGATCAAAGGTGAAGTATTCTGTGTTGAGTGTGAATAGAGAAGGGAAACCAGTTGGTTTTTCCTATTGTACACACCCTATTTAAATTGCAATAACTGCCATATCTGCTTTGGCAATCCGATCCTTCCCTGCTTAATTTTTCTCCACGACTTTTATCTTCTAGTCTGGTATATCATTAACTTACTACATGTTTTTTAAAAAAAAGATTTATTTATTTATGTGAAAGTCAGACTTACACAGAGAAGGAGAGGCATAGAGGGACAGAGAGGTCTTCCATCCACTGGTTCACTCCCCAGATGGCTGCAACAGCTGGAACGGCACTGATGCAAAGCCAGGAGCTTCTTCTGGTCTCCCATGTGGATGCAGGGGCCCAAGGACCTGGGCCATCTTCTACTGCTTTCCCAGGTCACAGCAGAGAGCTGGATTGGAAGTGGAGCAGCTGGGACTTGAACCAGTGCCCATATGGGATGCTGGCACTGCAGGCAGCTGCTTTACCGGCTATGCCAAAGCACCGGCCCTAACTTACCAAATCTTTTGAATGTTGTTTATCTCCTCACTACCGTTAGAGTAGAAACTACAAATCAGGAAGTTTTGTCTGTTTTGTTCATTGATGCCCAGCTCCTAGAATGGTGCCCAGCACATGGTAAACCTCAGTCATCATTTCATGAATAAATTAATGCTAAAGCAGTGGTAGGAGGTGGGATAATCAGGATGGCTATTTCAGCCTGAGAGAGTAGCATGGAAAAGCACTGAGGGAGGAAGGAATGTGATGTGATCACAAAATGGAGATTAAATGGATATAGCTAGAATGAGGAGCAGTAGGGATGTCACCTGGAGGCAAGGGCTGGTTTGCCACACTAAGGTATTGGAACTTTGGCCTGTAGGCAACAAGGTATCATTCAGAGGTTTCAAGCTGAGGCTGCCATGAGTGGTGAAATCTGATTATGTTAGAAAAGTAGAAAGGTCACTGTGGTCAGAGATGTCAGTTTAGGGGTGATGAAGCCAGCCACAAGGAAGTCACCTGGCTTTGATTTCAGTAACACTGATCCTCAACAGTGAGGATGTGAAATAAGACTAGTGGCCATGGGGCCGGCGCTGTGGAGCAGCAGGTTAAAGCCCCAGCCTGCAGCGCTGCCCTCCTTTATGAGTGCCAGTTCAATTCTGGCTGCTCCACTTCTGATCCAGCTCCCTGCTGATATGCCTGGGAAAGCAGTGGAGGATGTCCCAAGTCCTTGGGCCCCTGCACCTACATGGGAGACCTGGAAGAATCTCTTGGCTCCTGGCTTTGGATCGGCTCAGCTCCAGCGATTACGGCCATTTGGGGAATGAACCAGCAGATGGAAGAACTCTCTCTATCTGTGTGTATAATTCTTTCAAATAAAATAAATCTTAAAAAAAAAAAAATTGGCCAAGGCACTCAAGAGGAAAGGGGTGGGTTGGAGAAGTATCTAGAATGAAATCTTCAGGATATGGTAAACAAATTAATTGTGATATGTGTGAAGCAGAGCAGGAGTCAAGGACTACAACCAGTTCTAGCTTGGGTGGATTGACAGATGGTGGTGCTGTTCACTGAACACAGAGGTAAAGCAGTCATACAACCTCACACTCAGCTTCCTGATACTGGACTGCAAAGCCCTGTAATGATGGGGCACAAAGCCCAAGGCATTCATCTGTGTTCACCACACGTGCTAACCCCCCTGGTGGCAGGAAATCTAACCTGAGTGTTGTTAGTCAGTAGCCTCCCTTCTATTACCAAAGAGCAGGCTGTCATATAAACATCGCTTTAATTTGTTAGACAGGAATTTGTGGTTTCTTACCACATCTAACTACTCCATGCAGCAACCACAGCAGGAAATTATGCATGGATTTCCCTAAAGAGAAGTTCAGATTTGCCTAAGTTTATAAAGGCACAGGCAGCAGGGTTCATCACTGCCATCATCCACAGTGACAACAAATCCTTATGCAAAAAAGCACAGTGCTAGATACCAAATTAAGCTTGTGTCCCTGGTTTGCACCTGCATGCCCTAGCCTTCATAAGAAGATCTTTTCTCTGAATTGAATGGTGAGGGGAGTAGTGAAGAAACTGCTTGGGCAACCAGCCTGGTCAACCATGGAGTCAATGGTCACCTGTAGCCAGGTGCCCTTTACCACTCAATTCCTCCTTTCTCAAGATCTCTTCCAGGCTGGCACTAGATGGAATTATGGGACAGGTTGCCAGATGTGGAGCTCAGGAACAGCAGCCAAGAAGAGAGCCGGAAGCATCTTTCACCAGTCAGCTGGATTAAGCCAAATGGGTAACAATTGGCAGTTGGGTCTTAAGCAAAGGAACTGTAGCAGATTTGAGTCCCAGCTGGTCCACTTCCCATCCAGCTCCTTGCTAACGTGCCTGGCAAAGCAGCTAAAGATGGCCCATGTGCTTGAACCCCTGCCACCCATGCGGGAGACCTGGATGGAGTTCTTGGCTCCTGGCTTCTGCCTGGGCCAGCCCTGCTACATTGTTGCAGCCAGTTGTGGAATGAACTAGCAGATGGAAGATCTCAATCTCTCTTTGTGTGTGTGTCTCCTCCTCTCTTTGTAACTCTGCCTTTCAGATAAATAAATAAATCTTTAAAAAAGGAAAAAAGATTCCTGAGGGTCTGGAAAGTAAAAAAGAATCTATAGATATGGGCAAAATTGTTAACACAGTTTACTTGAACAAGCAACTTACACAGCAATGGCCCTATATTTTATGGAATGGCAGTGGCAGGGAGCAGCAATACTGGGGGATAGGATTTAAACACATGCACTGTAGGAAGTAGAATATCTCCACTCATTCATTTAAAAAGCATCTATTAAGTATCTACATGCACATGAACTAATAGGCAGCAATACAGGTTTGTTACCTGAATGAATAAACAGGTAATTACAGTTTGGTGCATTTAGAGGTGGCTTTTAATACATATATAAACTTCTAATGAAGTGTTTTACTTAGAGGAATGACATGTGTATAATTTTTAAATGATGGTGTTAAAGATGGCAGCTTGGAGTTAAGCATATCTGAGTACCTTTTGATGCTAAGAGTAATAGCCCATAATTTTGAAGTGGCTAAATCTCTTGGCCATCAGTTGGCCCTACTATGAATTTTAGTGAGTGAATGAATCAAGTCAGGAGGCCTATATTCATGACGAACATTTTAAAATGATAAATAGGGAGCCGGCATTGAGGTGTAGTGGGTAAAGCTACTGCCTAAACCACCAGCAATTCATAAGGGTACCGGTTGGTGTCTTGGCTGCTCCACTCTGATCCAGCTCACGGATAATGTGCCTGGGAAGATGTCCCAAGTGTTTGGGACCCTGCTATCCACGTGGGAGACCAGATGGAACTCCTGGCTCCTGGCTTTGGCCTGGTCCAGCCCTGGCTGTTGTGGCCATCTGGGGAGTGAACCAGTGGATGGAAGGTCAATCTCTCTCTCTCTCTCTCTCTCTCTCTCTCTCTCTCTCTCTCTCTCTTCCTCCCTCCCTCTCCCTCTCCCTCTCCCTCTCCCTCTCCCTCTCCCTCTCCTTCTCTCCTTCCTTCCCTTTCTCTCTGTAACTCTTTCAAGCAAATAAATACATCTTTATAAAAAATAAATAAAATGAAACATTTTGAGCTCAAAAGTTCTTCAAAGAGCCTTTACTTTTGCAACTATTTGTACTATATTTTTGGACAATAGATAGCTTTCTTGAACTATTGAGAAATGACCTGAATTAGTGGACAGATTTGAAAAAAAAGAACTTGTGCCATATGGCCAAGTAGATCTTGTATAGCTTTATCACTCTGAATGAAAAAGAATGTGTCTTTTGGGGCATAAATATGAAATGTGCGGTATTCCATGCTACTCACAATACCAACTTGTCTTTACTCTCACATATATAACAATGAACATTGAAGAAAACAGCAGGCACTGCAAAAAACCGTCACCTATAAAGCTTACAAAACAGCAGTCATTAACACCCTGCCTGAGTACAGCAAAATGTGCCAGGTTACTGGGAAGTCTCTAAATGTAATAGTTTTATCTAAAACTGTGTTCCCCTTTTTGCTGATATGTTTACAGTTTGAACAGAAAAGAGGAAGTATCTCAACATGGTTAAGTTTCCTTAAATAATGACATGGCAAAATATATGAATGCTGACAGGAAAAACAAGCAATTATAAGTAAATTCTTCATGAAAATTCTTGAAGTTTTGTTCTGCTGGGAGAAACACTAAGCCTGTTCTAAACTGGGCTTTTATTATAGTGTGGTTTGGTTTGTTTCAGAGTCCATTGTGAAACATATAACCTGATATACTTACACGGATTGAGGTGCAGTGAAATTGATTGTCTCATGAAGATAACAACCTGCCAGGATATCTAGCCACTGCTACAAAAACTGATGCAGCTGCCGCAGAGATTGTCTTGCTGTCAAGGAAAATACTCTCTATCCATCGCCTACTGTCAGACTGCTCTGCAAGGGAAAACGAAGACCATCTGGCTGCTACCTTCCTGTGTCATTGGCACAGAGACGTTGCACTTTGTAAGCAAAAGGGCCAGTTATAAAAAATGCCACTGGGATGGGAGTTGTGGTGCAGCAGGTTAAGCTGCTGCTTCAGATGCCAGTATTCCATATCAGAGTGCTGGTTTGGATGGAGTCCTGGTTGCTTCACTTCTGACCCAGTTTCCTGCTAATGCACCTGGGAAGCAGTGGATGATGGTCCTAGTACTTGGATCCCTACCACCTACATGGGAAGTCCAGATCTAGCTCCAGGCTTCTGGCTTCAACTTGGACCAACCTTGGATATTGTAGGAATTTGGGGAATGAACCAGTGCCTAGAAGATTTCTCTCTGTTTCTCCCTCTTTCTATGCCACTTTGTCTTTCAAATAAATAAACCTTTTATAAAATAAATAAAACTAAAAAAATGCCCTTTTGGAGTTTCTCTGGAATAAGAAGACATTCTTTTTTCAATTCTGTTGCAAAGAAAGATGTGAAACCCATGCAAAGTGTTTCATATTATGCATCCTCCATGAACTTTTTGAAGACCCATGCATGTAACCTTTGTGTAAGAATGACTGCCAGTCTAGAGGTCAGTCTTATGGCACTAGAAGGGCAGCACATCTTCTCCAGTCACTAAGGCTGAACCTCAGCAAAGGTGAAACAGGTGGGTTTGGACCCTTTCTCCCAAAGCAGCCAGCAGGCATCGCCTGTCCCTGGCCTGGGATTTGTGTTGCTGGGCTGTGTGGCTGGGGAACGTGCACCAGTACTCGGGGTTTTGTTCTCCTGGTTGAACAGTTCTTAGCACTCTTGGCCCTCGGGGAAATTCAGGACAAGCTCTTTCTGTGTCTTGAGGGCTGGCCTGACTGGCAAGAGTGCCTGGCCAGAGAAGGACAAGTTGCGGTCATCTGTCCATTCATGTGCCAGTGTTCTGTACTCAGCAACAGTTGTTCTAAGGATGGCACAGAGGAGGATTCAGGGATTTATGAACTTCTGAATGGCTGCCCTCTAAGGACATCTGGAGTCCCATATGCTCCAACTTAACCCCGAATTGCAGCTTGCTTTATTTTTATTACCAAGGATATTCTGTATATTTTTTTAAATAATCATCATCTAAGTCCAAATTTACAATTTTTTGATGACCTTCCAGAATTCATTAATGAATAAAACAACAGCTAGGAACATCATGTTAACTGTCGCTCCCCCTCTTCGTGGAGGAACGACACAGGACCCTGCGCTGTTCTTTCGTCTGCTCGGCCCTCCCCGGGTTTGCTGCTGGTTCTTCCCGGGTTGGCTACTATCCCTTCCACCTCCGTGGAAGGGCAGTTCCCCCTGGCCACATTCCCCACTTCCGCAGGGGAGCGGCACACCGCCGGCCGGCTCTTCTCGGGGGCTGCACAGGTGTTCCTTCAGCTAGATGTTCCCCTTAGATGTTCCCCATAGATGTTCCTGGTGCATGCCGTCTCTCTCCTCCTTTATAGTCCTCCTCTGCCAATCCTAACTCGGCTGCCCACACGCCGAGTACGCTGCTCTCCTCCAATCAGGAGCAAGTCCTACAGTTTATTGGCTGAACTGGAGGCAGCTGTGCAGAAGCTGTTTACTTCTCTCCCAGCGCCATATTGTGGGAGAGCAGATGCATAGAATAAGTCTTAATTCCAGTAACTCAGTCCAGTCCTAGCTGCTCCCCACAGTTAACCATTTAAATATACTAGAATCTGCTCATGTTCCTTAAGCCTCCCTCCAAAGTAAGCCTGGGATTTGGCATATGACAGGGAAATATTTAGACAGTAGAGCAAACCAAGATCCTAGGAGTGTGAAACAACCTGATTATTGGGACCCCTTGGAGAATGGTGCTGGGGACAAGCCCTTCTAAAGAACCATCCTTGTATCATGATAGCCTTTTCCTAGGTCTCCTTCTGTGTGACTGAGAAAGGCAATAATTTCCCAAAGCAAGTTGCTGCATATTGTTAGAGTGAAAAAGGTGAAATAAACATGGAAAATAAAAGAAGCATAACATCACTTATTTAATCTACTTTCGTTCAACAGATACTCATTGGGTATCTAGTATGTGACAGAGACACAAACAAAACTTTAGAGAAACTTGTAATTTTAATATTCTTTGTCTAATTAAAAAGGTAAAAACAAGGATATATGTTTAGTCTAATAATGTAGATGCTGATTGAAATGCCTATATCACATGTCAGAGTGCCTGGGTTCAAATCCTGGCTCTACTTCAGATTCCAGTGTGTACCCTGGGAAGCAGCAGGTGATGGCTCAAGTTCTTGGATATTTGCCACTGACGTGGGAGAGCCAAACTGAGTTCTGGGCTCTGGCATTAGCTTGGCCCAGTTCCAGCGATTGCAGGCATTTGGGGAGTGAACCAGCAGATAGGAAATCTCTCTCATCTGTCTCTGGTTTTCAAATAAATGAAAATCAATTACATTTTCAAAAACAGGGACTGGTGTTGTGGCATAGCAGGTAAAGCCATTGTAGTGCCAGCATCCAAAGTTGACACTGGCTGTTCCACTTCTGATCCAGCTCCTTGCTATGGCCTGGGAAAGCAGTGAAAGATGGCCCAACAGCTTGGGCCCCTGCGCTTGCATGGGAGAACCTGGAAGAAGCTCCTGGCTCCTTGCCTAGCTCCAGCCGTTGCGGCCATTTGAGGAGTGAACCAGGGGATGGAAGACCTCCCTCTGTCCCGCCCTCTTTGTCTCTAATCCTGCCTTTCAAATAAATAAATATTTTTTAAAAATTTAAAAGACTTGGATTTATTATTTGTATTATGAGGGTTGATCCTAAGTAAGGGACATGACTGAAGAAACTAGTTTTGTTTAATATTTTTACATCTGCAGTGAGCATACTAAATGCCAAGCACAGTTCTAAGTAGTTTATAGATGTTAACTCATTTAGTTTTCATAATAATCCTCTGAGGATAAAACTGAATCTTTTTGTATTTAGGAAAAACTAAGATGTGGAGTGATTTAAGTAACTTGCTCAAAGCTATTTAACCAGGAAATGACAGAACAATAAAATGTCGATAATCCTTGCAAATCTCTGTAATTTTCATCTTTTTTTTGTATTGGATGTGTTAATTTAAAAGGATTGTGTCTGGGGCTGGCGCCATGGCTCACTTAGTAAATCCTCCGCCTGCGGCACCAGCATCCCACATGGGCACCAGGTTCTAGTCCCAGTTGCTCCTCTTCCAGTCCGGCTCTCTGCTCTGGAAGGCAGTGGAGGATGGCCCAAGTGCTTGGAGACCAGGAAGAGGCACCTGGCTCCTGGCTCTGGATCGGTGTACTCTGGCCACTGTCTAACTCTGTCAAATTAAAAAAAAAAAAAAAAAAAGGATTTGTGGGGAGCAACTGGGAGCAACTCGGACTAGACTAAGTTACTGGAATTAAGACTTATTCTATGCATCTGCTCTCCCACAATATGGCGCTGGGAGAGGAGGAAACAGCTTCTACACAGCTGCCTCCAGTTCAACCAATAAACTGTAGGACCTGCGTCTGATTGGAGGAGAGCAGCGTACTCGGCGTGTGGGCAGCAGAGTTGGGATTGGTGGAAGAGGACTATAAAGGAGGAGAAAGACAGCATGCACCAGGAACATCTATCTGAAGGAACACCTGTGCAGCCCCCGAGAGAGCCGGCCGGCGGTGTGCCGCTCCCCCGCGGAAGTGGGGAAAGTGGCAGGGGGAACCGCCCTTCCACGGAGGTGGAAGGGTCGGTAGCCAACCCGGGAAGAACCAGCAGCAAACCCGGGGAGGGCCGAGCAGACAAAAGAACAGCGCAGGGTCCTGTGTCGTTCCTCCACGAAGACGGGGAGCGACATAATGGTGCTGTGACTCGGATATGAAGCCTAGGCAGGGTTTAGTGTCGTTCCTCCGCGAAGAGGGGGAGCGACAAGGATTGTGTCTAATCACAAGGGATAGAAAAACTGAATCTCATCAGCAGTTATATTCAGAACACTCAAGAGCTTGACCTAGTCTTGTATTAAAGCTTGGCCTTGGTAAGAATACACCAACTTTGTCCTTCTAAAAGCTCACAAATAATAAAGTACAAGAGTACAAGCAGGTGATGACCAGAGAAAAGTGTGTGATCATATCCTCCTTTTATGAGATATACACATTTGGCTTTCAGTAACTGAAATCTAGTATACAACTTCAGCATCAGATGATTCTATTTTGTAAAATGGGGACACATTTTTTTAGAAAACTTTAATAAATATAAATATCAAAAGTACTACTTTTGAATTATAGCGGTTTTCCCCCCATAACCACTCTCCCACCTGCAAACCATCCCATCTCCTACTCCCTCTCCAATCCCATTCTTCATTAAGATTCATTTTCAATTATTTTTATATACAGAAGATCAACTTCTTATATACTAAGATTTCAACAGTTTGCACCCACACAGAAACACAAAGTATAAAGTACTGATTAAAGAGTAGTTTTACTGTTAATTCGCATAGTACAACACATTAAGGACAGAGATCCTACATTCAGAGTAAGTGCACAGTGACTCCTGTTGTTGATTTAACAATTGGCACTCTTATTTATGACATCAGTAATCACCCGACGGTCTTGTCATGAACTGCCAAGGCTATGGAAGCCTCTTGAGTTCATCAACTCTGATCTTATTTGGACAAGGCCATAATCAAAGTGGAAGTTCTCTCCTCCCTTCAGAGAAAGGTACCTCCTTCTTTGATGGCCTGTTCTTTCTGCCGGGATCTCTCTCACAGAGATCTTTCATTTAGGTCATTTTTATTTATTTATTTGACAGGCAGAGTGGACAGTGAGAGAGAGAGAGAGACAGAGAGAAAGGTCTTCCTTTGCCGTTGGTTCACCCTCCAATGGCCGCTGCGGCCGGTGCACCGCGCTGATCCGATGGCAGGAGCCAGGTACTTACCCTGGTCTCCCATGGGGTGCAGGGCCCAAGCACTTGGGCCATCCTCCACTGCACTCCCTGGCCACAGCAGAGAGCTGGCCTGGAAGAGGGGCACCCGGGACAGAATCCGGCGCCCCAACTGGGACTAGAACCCGGTGTGCTGGCACCGCAAGGCGGAGGATTAGCCTAGTGAGCCGTGGCGCCGGCCAGGGACGTTCATTTTAAAAATAAAACACAAATACTAGTTCTTTCTGTAGCGTGAGATAAAGAAACATTACTGAAGCAGTAAATTCTAAAGCTCAATTAATTGCCTATGAATTTTAATGTTGTAAACTCTCTATATATTTAAAGACACACATACAATTATTAGGAGACAATTGATGGTCATGCTGTGTAATACAGAAGCAACTAGTCTTTTTCATTTGTTTGCAGTGTGAACAAGATGATGTAGATGGCCCTCCCTACCCTTGGGATGCAGATTCAACTGGCCTTGGATCAAAACTATTTGGAAAATCAGAGCCAGTGCTGTGTTGCAGCAGATTCGATGCTGGCCATCCTATATTGGTTCAAGTCCCAGCTGCTGTAATTCTGATCCAGCTCCAGGCTAATGTGTCTGGAAAAGCTGCAGCACATGACTCAGGTACTTGGGCCTCTGCCACCCATGTGGGAGACGGAGGTGGCGTTCCAGTTTCCTGACTTCGGCCTGGCTGACCCTCAGCAGTTGTGGCCATTTGGAGGAGGGAACCAGCAGATGGAAGATCTCTCTCCTTCTGTCTCTCCCTCTCTATTTGTCCCTCTGTCTTTCAAATAAACGAAATAGATCTTTCTAAAACAAGATTTTTAAAGGAAATATTTAAAATTTTTGAAAAATATTTCATCTATGGCCAGCGCTCACTAGGCTAATCCTCCACCTGTGGCGCTGACACTCCAGGTTCTAGTCCCAGTTGGGGTGCTGTATTCTGTCCTGGTTGCTCGTCTTCCAGTCCAGCTCTGTGCTGTGGCCCAGGAGTGCAGTGGAGGATGGCCCAAGTGCTTGGGCCCTGCACCCGCATGGGAGACCAGGAGGAAGCACCTGGCTTCTCCTGGCTTCAGATCAGTGCAGTGCACTGGCGTAGCAGCCATTTGAGGGGTGAACCAATCAAAGGAAGACCTTTCCCTCTGTGTGTCTCTCTCTCACTGTCTAACTCTGCCTGTCAAAAAAAAAAAAAAAGAAAGAAAAGAAAAATGAATATTTCATCTGCACCGAACATGTAAAGACTTCTTGTAATTATTCCCTAAACAATGCAGTATAATAAATATTTACATAGTATTTATGTTGTACCAAATATATTTTTATGTAACACTTTTTTTTTGAACTACAGACCTTTCTCTTTTTTTAAGATTTATTTATTTATTTGAAAAGCAGAATTACACAGAGAGAGGAGAAGCTGGTTCACTCCCTAATTGGCTGCAGTGGCCAGCCAGAGCTGTGCTGATCTGAAGCCAGGAGCTTCTTCTGGATCTCCCACATGGGTGCAGGGGCCCAAGGACTTGGGCCATCTTCGACTGCCTTCCCAGGCCACAGCAGAGAGTTGAATCGGAAGTGGAGCAGCCAGGACTTGAACCGGCGCCCATATGGGTTGCAGGCACTGCAGGCAGCAACTTTACTCGCTATGCCACAGTGCCGGCCCCATTGTACCAACTATTGCAAGCAATCTGGAGATTTTTGAAAGTATATGTGGAGGGGTGTTTATCCTAGCAGTCAAGACAATGGTTAAGACACCTGCTTACATCAGAATTGGAGTTGGAGACCTGGTTCCAGCCACTGACTCCAGCTTTCTGGTATTGCAAACCCCAGGAAGCTGCAATGATGACTAAAGTAGTTGGATCCCTGCCATCCATGAGGGAGACCTGGATTGAGTTCCTGGCTACTGGTTTTGAACCAGCCCAGCCCTGGCTATTGCACACATTTGGGGAGTGGGCCAGCAGATGGGGGCTTTCCTCTCTCTCTCTCTCTCTCTCCCTCTCTAGTAAACAAAGAAAACATTTAAAATAAGATCATAGAGCATACAGGAGGATGTGTGTATGATGGCATTTTATGAAACTGACTTGAGCATCCGAAGATTTTGAAATCCTTGGATGTCCTGGAACCAAGAACACTAGAAGGATGAGTGTGTATGACAAAGTCCCACTAAGCACAGACTCGACGGTGAGAGGGCGTGGGAAAGTGGGGGACCTTTGAGGAATGCGAAGGAGCAGGCACTCTGGAGAAGCAGTGGGGAGGAGAACATTCAGCTCAGTGAGGAGGGCAAGCCCAGAGTTCCAGAAAGAGAGCTCTTTAGGAGGCTTATGTCACTAGGTCCAACATGAACAGACTGGGCCAGAGCTCAAAATTCTCTCCCAAAATCGACTGAAGGAAAGGACTCTGCCGTGGTATTTCTTTTCTTACTGTTGTGGGGAGCAACTCGGACTATACTGTTACTGGAATTAAGACTTATTCTATGCATCTGCTCTCCCACAATGTGGCGCTGGGAGAGGAGGAAACAGCTTCTACACAGCTGCCTCTCACCAACTTGACAAGCTGCAAGAGCCGCTCCTGATTGGAGGAGAGCGGCGCGCTCGGCGTGTGGGTAGCAGAGCACGGATTGGTGGAGAGGACTATATAGGAGGAGAGAGACGGCATGGTGGTGTGGGTTGGTTGGAGAGTTCGCGGGGAAGTTCGTTACTTTGTTCTTTCTCATTTCTCTCTACTCATTCTTGCTTTGGGAGTTTGCTGTTTACTTATTCTTACTTTACTATAGAAAGGACTTGTAAAAAAAGGGAACAACAAGCGTCCGGTCCGATGCGGCTCCTCCGCGTGCGGAGGAGCAGCAACTCTTACCTGCACAGTCCTTCA